TGTGTTAAAGAGCAGATATTTTATGAAAAGGTGATTTATAAGATCGGAAAAAAAGAGTGGGAGCAAACAGAGGAAAGAGAAAGAGAGAGAAAGTAAAAGCTTACTGATGGAGTGTATCCACTCAGGATTACAGAGTACACACACTCATAACCAACAGCAAATTACTCTGCTGCTGCGCTCTGTCGAGGCAAATCACAAACTTTCTGAGTGTAGTTATTATAGTGGGAACAAACACAGCGAGCGCTTGGAAGGAAACACACTGAAGAGCATCTGTCTGGGCTGCACGACAATATAACACATGACCAATTATAGGACCATAGACGCTGCTGGATACCAACACACACCAACACACACACACACACACGCACACACACACCTCTGGGACACATTTTATTGTCACCAGTGGAAACATTGTTCTTGTATTTTTAAGGGGGAAACATTTACATACAAACAAACTGAAGCAATTAGACCACAAAGCATCAGGATTAAAGAGAGAGAGAGGTTGAGTGAATGAGGGTGAGAGGGTGGAGCTCGATTGTTTAAATTGGTGTGAAAATGAGTAGAATTTTTTTAAAAAAGAGACAATTTTACCCTCTGTCTGAAATATCACGTAACAGCTGTGAGTTTATATGTGTGTGTGTGTGTGTGTGTGTGTGTGTGTGTGTGAGAGGACAGAACATTATCAATGATACTGCAGATGAGAACAATCCCAACAGAGTCACACTCCTGTTTGAGTCTAATAGCTGACAATCAGAACTCGTGTCGCTTCAATCTCACCACCGAGAGTCTATTTAAACCTGAAATAGCACTGCATTAGCATTACATTAACACAGGAAACAACATTATCTAATAAACTGCACAATACTTGTATATCATTCTGAGAAAGGGCTCTTTATAGCTGTTTGAATTATTTACATTGTATGCTATTGAGATAGCGTTCATGAGGAAGGGATAATGCCCCACGAGGTGTCCATTATCAGGAGTTAATGGACGACGAGGACGAGCAGGTTTATTCCTAATAAGATTATTTATTATTGATTCGTATTGAATCCTGAATGGAAGCGGTTCAAGAAACAGAGCTAATGTGGTGAATAAGGGACACTCCTGGTCCACACTTCCCTTCCCAGTGGTTCCTGTTTGCAGCCACGATTGCAGTGTTTTTGAACCAATGCTTACTATCCTGCCATCACAGTTTAGCTCGTAACTAATCAATCATATATGCGTTTACATTTCAATGATCTTGTCGAATTTTGTCATATTCTGACAGTATTATATGTTTTTAAATTAATGTATTTCTTTCAAAATAAAGACATTCCTCTGTGTACCAGTAGAGGCAGCTCACGTACCTCCAACGGTACACGTACCAAAGTTTGAAAACCAGAGCATCAAGGCGGTTGTTCACTATATTTTGTTCATGCCAGAGAGGCTGTCTGAATCTGACCCAAACCTGCAGCAACAGATCAATGATAGGGGAGACTGGGGTAAGACGAGCCATTTTTCATATTTAGGATCACTACATCAAGGCAATCATAGTTTTGTCGCTAACTAATATATCTGCATATATTTCAGGATGTTGTGCATCCCTTCAAACAAACAGAATGAGTGTAAACGTAACTGTTTCGATAATACAGCATGTCCAGAAAAAGTGGTCTTGTGGCTCAACTTACCCCGTATTTAAGTTTCCAGCTCCTTCGTACAATGATTGATTGATGATGTGATTTTGTCCGTGTTGTATTTTGTTTTGTTTTGGTTTCATTGTCTTTTATTTTGCCATCTTATATTTTATCTATATTTATCTGTATGTATGTATTTTTTGTTATGTCTAATTGTTTAATGTCGGTGGTAATTTGTCAATGTGTCCTTATACTTGTGCAATGTAATGCAATGTTTGTACATTGGAATATTGATCAATAACAAACACGATGTTGCCAATGATACTAATTAAAGCTCCATTTAGTGCAGCAGAGCCCTTCCAGTGAGCCATCATGCACTATGGCAGCAGCCTGTTTGACCCGAATGGAACTGAACCATAATTACATCATTGGCCACGCCCATGTTTACTCTAATATTTCATGTCATAATGGTTGCTGTGAAAAAGGTCTATACCCACACACTGCAGTGGACACTAATTCTTTGTTTTTTAACATTAAATGAATATTAGGAGATGGAGGGGCGTGTAATGTGCGGTCATTGCCCCCCCAGTGGCGCTGCTTGGCAAGAGGCTACAAACAGATGGTGGCACACCACCCAAAAATGAAATGCTGCTACTATAAATGTCAAAAGTTTCACCGTGAGAACAGTAAGGGAGCCAATAAAGACACAGGTGTTTCTCATTTTGAACGGTTCAACCTCTTCTCAGACTGATTTGCGGGGGAAAAAAAGAAAGTGTGAATTTTTACATCCGAATAGGTGTGAAGACACACACACACACACACCCACACCGTCCCACACACCCACACCCACCCACACACACACACACACACACACACACACACAGTCCTGTGGAGATGTTAAATTAGCTAAAATAATTGAAAACACCTGTGAGGGTAATCAGGGCCTTTGAAATCCGCCTGACTATACCGGTGAAAAAGCCTGTATTTTCTATACAGTATGCAGCCGAGCTCCTTTTGGAACACAGCCACATTTTTAAATTTCACAAAACCTCACAACTGTGGGACTTTCTGATGGAGATTCAAGAAAAGAGTTCGATTAGGCCTCTCAGTTTCTTCTCTCAGAGGTTTCCTGTACTTTACTGGAAGGCTGAAGAACATAAAATTAACTCTAATATACACTACAGATGACATTAGTTACAATCAAAGTCCTATAAATTCTGTCCACAGGGTCTCGATTCAACATCAGATACAGATAAGAGAATAAAGTGGACGGCAGAGTTACATTACACAATGTGTTGTTACAGGGTTGACTGCTGTAATGGTCTTGGGGCTGGGCTCCCACATCATCTTATTCAAAATGTAATCCATAAAAAAGTGCAACTCCCACAGTTTGTAAGAGCCAGCATGATATGTAATAATGTATTAGCTATATTCACACTGGGTTCAGGCTGTTTCTGACATAATGAGACAGATTGTTACACAATGTCACGTTACAAGCCTTAATGATGAACTAAGAGAGCTCCATTAGTCAAGTTCTCACACTAGGAAACAATAAACTACAAATAAATGTTAATCCCACATTACAATGAGAGCGAGTGGGTTTAAAGTTACAGGTCATTTAACCTCCTACTGTGCCGTTTAGTCACACATTTAATCACTGAACACTTTCTGTTCCTATATTTACAACGAAAGCACAAACATATAAAGCACACTCACATATTCATTAACAAATATAACCTGTACAGCCAACAACACAACTGTTATCACCGACAGATCCATGAACTCACTAAAGCAGCCAATATACCAACGTCTGTGTTTACCCTACTATTTTAATGTCAAAATGGCTGCTGTGAAAAAGGTCTATTAACCACGCCGCTGTCCACTGGAACTGAAGTGAAATTATCAGGCTTGGACAACAACAATATTCACAGACCTTTAGAAAACCAGGACCAGGACACTTGTATGCAGACAACCGAATAAAAGACTGCATATTTATGATTGTGTGCAGCAAACAATCAAACACGCTCAATGGACTGAGTGCTTACAACAAGGTTAATAAAAGCCAGAGAGAGTCTGAGAGTCACACAGCGCTACAGCAAATACAAGCCCTTCATTTCCAGAGACAGTGAAGTTAATACCGACGGATACATTTCAGCCTCAATGAGCCTTAATCAGGGTCCACTCTTGTTTTTCTTTGGGTTTTCATATAATGACAGCACACCAGGGTCTGAACATCTGGCATCCTCAAGGGTGTTTGCTTAATTTCCTGACTCATTTATCACAAAGTGAAGCTGTGAATGGTGGATGATTCCTCCCAGAGGTTACTGCACGACTCTAAATGCACATCATGGGATCGTTTGAGCTCCATTTCTTTTTGGTGACATTGAGGTTTTAATTCAGGATTTTGTGGATTTATCTTAACTCCTTACTGCAGACACTGTGTGTTTTACCTCCTGATGGGTGTGGGTGAATCCTCAAGAGACATTCAGACTATTCTTACCTCAAAGCTAAAGGCTGAAGGTGATAGGGCTCATGCTGTCACACTCGCTCTCTTTTCTTATTACCCAATTATCTCATTATTAATGTGCTGGAGGCTTTAACGTCTGATGTTTATTCTTCATCTCATTGGATTGGGCTTAGTTCCCAGCAATTTATCCGCACGCAAATAAACCTTCTTCAACTTAAACTCAGACTGTTTCTATGACAGTCGCAGGAACATGCTAAAAGTCTGACGTTTCCTCAGGAAACTGGAAAAGATTTAGCTGAGAATTAAATAGTAGGACATCAATTCCTTCTGGAAAATCAGTTTTCCTGGAAAATGTCTTTCATGTTTTTCTGACAATACAGTACAGCACTCACTCTGCGTTAGCTTATTTTAGCATAAATAACAGTTCTGATCAAACTGAATTTTAATTATTTTAAAGAAAATTCGTATCTATTAGCCTATAAAACGTAAAGTGTAAGTGTTCATTGCAGGTCAAATTAACAAGTGAGGGGTTGAAGTACAATTAAAATTTTCCAGGAGAACATATTATATATTCAGGATCTTTGGTCATTTTAAATTAATTCCCAGGTGTTTACATGACTGGAAAACTAGTCTCTAAATTCCCAGGTTTTCCAGATATTCCAGGAAGCGTGGGAACTCTGCTAATGCTAAATGACCCACGTGTTCCTGATGGCATGTTTCCATCCTTCTTTTTCTTTTCTTAATGTGTAGCTTTGTGGTATCTAAAGCCAAAGGGTGGGTGCTTGCATTTCTGGTGTAGACGGCCAACAAACCAGCCAGACTACTTTTGAGTTTTTATAAAGTCGAGATAAATGTTTTCACTGCAAAGCAACAAAGAGTCTTTTGATACGTAATGGATGCAAAACGCCAGCAGCTGTTACCTTGGTCTGTCCTTCAATGACAGTGAGAGGCACGCTGGTGGAGGGCCACTTGTTCCTAGGAGGTAAAGGCTTGTCGCAGTTCCATAAAACCACAATCTGTACGGGGAAAGCACATGGAGTCGGTTAATATGAACCATCAGCTTCATTATCTGTGTTTCTACTGTTGGATGTTTGAGATTTAACATTATTAGAAGTATTGTAATGTGGAAATGACACCTTTCTTTTCCAGGAAAAACATATCAGACACACATTATTGTTCCAAGGAGACTTTTTGTATTTAACTCTTAATACATATCTGGAGGAGATTTTAAGTATAAAGATACAACAGAATCTATCTCAGGTAAGCAGCACAGCTTCAGGACACTCACACTTATTTGTTAAAGAGTACTTCATTATCAGAGAGAGTACACAGTCTAAAAATATATCCTCTTATTTCTACTGTTAAATTATCCAATCAATCAGTTTGTTTCAGCCGCTGTTCCACAGTAGATTTACAGGCATATTATAGGCAATACATTTGTAAGCATTGGTTGTTTATCTCTCATATAAAACTCATTGTTATATAAGGAGCTGCTCTGCTTATACAAACTTCTTGAGCAGTTCTGCCTCACACCCTCACTTTGCTTCGAGTTCTGTTTTGTGATCATTTTATGATGGATTGTACAGATAAAAGCATGTTGGTTAAATTAAAAATACATAATGTTAGCAGTATGGGGGGAGTATAAGGGCCAAAAATGTTATAATAATAAAGGATAAAGTTGAAATGTTTAGATAAAAAAAGTCTTTATGTTATGAAAAAGTTGCAATATGTAATAATGAACATTACAAGGCACAAGGAATGGCTGTTCCCTGTAATCAACTGTACTACCTGAAGGTACAAATTTGACAAAGAAAGGGAGAAAAATAAAAGAAAGACGGAGAAACAGGAGAAGAAGCAGGAAAAGAACTAAAGCATGAGACATGTTACAGGTGATGAAAGACTGACTCCTCTTCACTTCATCGTGGATACTTTGCTTTGTGTTGGGTTATTTTCCCTTCGTTGCAGCTGTACCAGATCACTGAGATGTAGACACGCTTCCCACCTGTGCACAGAACTTGGACTTGGCTACAGCGATGATGAGCTTGACCACAGGGGAGATCTGGGACTGCAGAGGAGTAACCGTATGGATCACAGCTGTAAACTGCTGCGAGGGGCTCTTACCTGGCACACACACACACACACACACACACACACACACACACACACAGAGTTCAGAAACAGTTGTCATGGGTAAACTCTATTTAGGTTTTTTAAACACAGATTTGTGCAGCTGTAGCTCTCCATAAAGCTCCATAACGGTTAAGTGGACACAGGCTGCTCTGTGCTGCACCCGTCATCAATCTCTGTGACAGGATATATACCCCCGGTCCCCATGACTGAGCATGAGTAAACATGTCTAATCCAAGAGTGAGCAGTTTGCTCTCAGTGTCTCTTTTAGTGAATCATGCTGATTTGTTTCTATAAAGGAGTAATTGTATTTTTTTACAACCTCACAATAAAACAGCTCTTGTTAGTTTGGTTGACTGAAGCAAAGAAGTGAACCAAACAGGACAAAAAGAGAAATTATGAAGCGGAACCAAACTTTAAATTACTACCTTCGATAAATGATCCCCAGCATACGCTACAATGAGTAAATGGGGTTGAAGAAATTGATTCCCCCTGTGGCAGCCTGTGCCAAAGAAATGTATCAATATTATAAAGCATTGGCGTCTACGGTTGGATTTTATTTTCTGAATACGTTTTCTGTTCCGTAATGAATGAATCCATTCGTGTTCTTCTATCTTTAATAAGAGAATGCAAAACCTAAGCCTATGTTATGTGACATATTTAACACCACTCAGTGTGTTTTTATGCACACTAACAGTTTTATTATAATCAGATTAAGGTGACACTGACACTGTTGTGATTGTGTAAACAGCGTTATGTTCATAATCGGTGTAAAAGGAATGTGATTAGCGTGCAATCACTGAATTTAGATGAGAGAACAGCTCACAAAAAGCAGCACAGAAGCTGCATCTCTGTGTCATAATTAGTGATTATCAAACATTATTTAGATACTAGGGACTTTCTGACACTTTAACTCAACTATTTACCTGTTTTCTTTTACAATAATGAGGTTATAATGTGCACGCAGAGCCTCCACCGCTCTCTGCAAGTGATGGGACTAGATTAATTAAAAAGTTTTATGCTTCTGAAAATCACAGCACGACTGCCCTCAGTGAGTGGCACATGTTGAAGAGTGCACCAGACAAAGGTTGAGATATTGTGACTACAACTGTCACTGAATCTGCACAAAGTGACAGCTTGCAGTCTAAAAAAGTAACAAAAACAGCATAATTACATTCATTAAATCAGGTTTCAGTGTTTCAAATGGAGACACATTTTATTGGCAGGTAAAGTGAATCTAATCTTGGACAATCCAGATACAAAATGTCATGTTAGTGCACCTAAAGGGAGGCTTTTTTTTTTTTTTTAACTACTTTTAACTTTTCATGTCATTACTTTCCACTTTTCCTCCACAGAAACAGCTAGTGGCAAAGCACATGTGCATATTTATCTTATACATCTTCTAAAGAGAGAACCAATAGGTATATATTACATAGACACTGTTATTCCTCTGTTTTGTGATCAGTGGAGTCTCATTCTTCATAATAAAGGTATGTTCTTCCTGGTCCTGTGCAGCTTTAAACCCAGTTGAAGGAGGATTGTGGAGATATTTACAGCTGCAAACATGTTTGAGAGAGTGTGTGTGAGCCAAAGCAGGAAGCACAGTGGAAAGCTAACACACAGCTTACAGTAGCATCAGGTGATACTTCAACACTTCAAACAAACATTCTCACATACTTATAAAAAGTTTGCCTGTATGTGCAAAACTGAAGACACACAACAGTTAAAGTGGGGCAGATATGGGAACACACACACACAGACACACAGGTAATATTCACAACCACTGCACACGGCCAGGATCGCAGGCACATGGCATGCCAAGTGTTGGGTGGGTGTGGGAATATGGGAATACACATCCTCATGGATAAGTGGAGCCAGAGTGCTCTTTAGTGTTGCTCTATCCATCTCTCTGACACCGGGCCCCCTGACCAGCCATCTCAGGCGGGCTTAGCGGTATTTATGGAAGCACAAGGTCTGCCCTTGCGGGGGTCACAGAGAGAGGCTCAGCCCTTCTGTTTCATCTGCGCTTTCCTGGAAAGAGCCTCGCCACCTTGATTCTTATCAAATTACATACATTTCTTCTATCCCTGCAAACAGAACAACATGTTCTACCAGTTGGAACAAAGTGGTTTCGAGATGATACAAAAATAATGAATGATAAAATGACTGATGCAAGAACTTGTAGTCTAACAAAAGACTGCATTGTGGGATCTGGCATTTCTTGGAGCTTTACCCATTAATAAGAAGTATTTTGTATAATTTAGACTACTACCAGGGGCGGATCTAGAGAAATGGTGGCCAGAAGGTGGCATGGACAGTTTAAGGCCATAAATATAAGTTGATTTAATTGCAAACCATCAATATTTGCATAGAGTTTGGATTCTCTGAAAAACATATTCACTATTTTATAAGCACAATGTAGTTTTCTTAAGTCTGCAATAAACTATTTTATTTCATTTATGTTCATTTATTTATTTAAACATGTTATTTTTCAGAATTAATCTAAATTAACGTGTTAAATTTGTCAGCATTTGACACCAAACTGAGGTTTTTTATCCCTCTAGGTCCGCCTGTCTTCAGGTTCTAAGTAAAAGGAAACTGGGTCTTTAGACTCTTGAACATGTTTTGTCTCCTGTTTGAAAAGCTCCTTCAGTCCAGATTGAGTGGATTGACATTTGATCTGTATTTAACCTCTGAGGGGTCGTTCACACCTTGAGAGCGGTCGAGGTCACATGGGGGTCATTAGTCCACCCGGCTGTCATGTGAGAGCTGTTAAGAGTCACATGAATCAATGTGTGAATGGATCTTAAACTGCCTGTGAAGGGCTATCAAGCTGACATCGAAAGAGCGGCTTCTTTTCAGTGAAAGCTGGCGAGTGGAAAGCTTTCCTGTATTTTTGTGAGTGTCAATATGTTATTACCCTTCACTCTATTGCCTCTTCTGGGGTCATTAAACCAGAATCAGAATATTGGGGGGGGGGGGCTTTTATGGTGAAATACTGCCAACTGTGACTGCACAGGTGACCTCAATGTGTATGTGGCAGGTGTATATTCCATCTGGCAGATGCTTACATTTCCTCATGCATTTCCACACACATCTGGAGACATTTGGGGTTCAGTTTGTTGCTCGAACCTCTACGATTAATGGATGAAGCCACTTTTACCACATGAGCCCAATCCTTATATTAATAATACAATGATAAAAGTGTGCGAGATATCAACAGTGTGTGTGTGGGTTGTAACAGACAGCACACTAACTATTAATATATTAGTTTTCTTTGCTCAGAAAGGACAACAAAAATGCACAAACATATTCAGGTCTGGCCTTGGACATGTCATATTCTAACCAACCGCTGTGGTGAATGTAAACCCTCAACATGCAGTCGAAATGCAGTTCATAATTGAAATAGACATAAACGGAGGAGAAGAGTGAAAAGAAATATTTTAAATGTTTCAGCATCATAGATGTAAGAAGAGGTAAATATCTGAGTGTTTCTGGACCGCGGACAGAGACACAGAGAGGAAGTTTCCAGGCTCTTAACTTCATAGTTCAAGACTAATGGTGACTTTGGGTCGTTCAAAACTGTCTAAGACAAATAAATAAATTAGCAATCCTTTCAAGGTGGTAAACACAGTTTTATTATAACTAAATAAACAGTATATAAAAGTCAGTGCGACCAACGTCAAACTCATTAAATCAGTTCAAAATGTGGTGACCCTTTTAAAATAAGTGAGGTTTCTGACTCAAACTATTACAAAGTTCGAAGACTTCCTGCTATGGGGGCAAAAAAAGTTACCTATATTACATCTTTAGCAACAATTACGTCTTCCAAAAGTACCGGCACAATTGCCCTCAACGAGCTGAACATTGTGATCTGTGCAGCACACAAAGCTTTCAATCTGCACAAAATGGCAGTTTTTAATCTGAAAGAAGAAGGACACGAAAATAACCCAAATTATTTACATTAAATCAGGTTTCAATGTTCCAACTGGAGACGCGTTTTATTGGCGGATATAGTGCATCTCGACTGCCCCTCCTGGTGCCCCATGTTAGAAGAAACACAGCAAAAGTGCCCCTAAAACATAATGAAGCGCCTTCTAGGGTGCTAATCCTAACCCTGACTAAGCTTTTTCACCATAAATGCGTCACAGCTTTGCTCTTTTCACTCCTCAAACAGCCGGAGTCCACCACTGGTGCAGCTCATCCTGTACAGTCCACACACAAAATGTCATATTAATGGGGGGCTTTTTCTCTGGATTTATGTCTATCATTACTTAACAGTAAAGTAATGAATATTTGGCACCAGTCGATCATATGCCTCTAAGAAATGCTTGCATTGCAACTCTTATCTTGTTCCTACACCGGACCAACCAGTGGCACATATTTAAATTATACATTTCTAATGTCTCATTCTTCGTGGTAAAGATTCTCACCAGGAAACACACTGGAAAGGTAACACACACACACACACACACACACACAGTTGAAAGTAGCTCCACAGCCGATGTAACAGCACAACTTTTCACAAACTAAAGTAAAGATGTCAGATCAGGATATTCGTACAGCTCCTGAGGCCACTACGCCTGAGCAGTAAGTCAAACTTTTTCAAACTACCGGGCCGAAGTTGCAACTGCTTCGCCATCAAAAGTTACGGGGAGGTAGCAGAGTGAGACCGACGTACAGACACGGCATTGACGGCGAGTTATTCCCCGAGCAGCGGCGCTGGAGATGGCAGCAGCTAAAATAGTGATTTACTGCGGTGGCATAAAGCAAACTGCCCCGGTCTTCTATCCCTCGATCCCTCCCTTCTTTCCTCCTTCTAACCCTTGTGTCCACAATTCCTCGGAGAAAGACAAACATCGATCTGAGTCACAGCCTCAGTCTGTGGAGAATCACTGCAGTCTGCATGCATATCTATACACACCCACGTATATACACACACACACACACACATACACACACCTCCCTGCTCTTCGCCTGCAGCTGCAACATATATATTTTTACATTTATTATTGTGCATTTTTCTTATTTTAATTACAGTTTCAGTTGATAAGAAGTGCATTCTCTATCATGAGGTGCTGCATTTACTGTATGTTTTGCTGTTCTAAACAACCAGCATCCAGCCCCTGATCTCTGATAAGTCCTGTCAGTGCAACTAACATCCAGCAACAGCTTCCAGGCAAGCTTTACCTGGCAGAAGGGACAGCTCACTTGGAATAAATTGAAGGAAAATCTGGAACTTCCACAAGAAACCTGATTGACAGGTGATCTCTGGCAAGAGCAGCGTAGGAGCACCACTGCAATCTCTTAGTACCGAAGACGAGGTGAAAATAAGGGAATGTAGTAGACTCGTTTTTTCCCATTTGGCTGTAAACTTTTCAAACTGAGTCACAAAATGATTATAAACCACAAAACTAACTGTGATGGAAGGAGAGAAGAGTGATAGTTAACGGAGGGGAGTGTGTCTCTGGACGGCAGTGAAGTCGGCTAAAACACTTCTCAACCAGCTGAACCGGGCTCAGCAGCCAGTGAACCTTCGAGACAAATGGAGGACAGTTTCCAGATGGACGATGGAAAGAAACTAACTTCCACCAACAGTAATGTTACATGGCATTAGCTGAGTTAGCCCTGTTTCATGTGGACTTTATGCCAAATTAGCGACTAGCAGTTTCTGTTTGCAATGTATCCCTGGATATACAGATAATCACTCGACTACTTTCATCCAAACTTTAAAATATGAAATCATGGGCTTGTAATTATATGTATGTAGTATGTTATTAAGATTTATTTGCGATGGAAGAGATAATGATATCCTCTGGAAGTCATAACTGGGTCTAATAATATGTATCTAATGTCTGCGTGTTCAGATCTAACTGAGCTATGAGGAGTGCGACTTTAGCGGCAATCAGGCGCCACAGGTTTTAATGTACCCTAATTGCCTCTGTGAGCTGTGTGTCACTGCCACTGGTGCAGCTCCAACTGTTGACCCTGTTGATAAATGGGCCAAAGCACTGGAGCCAAACTGCTCTCACTAAACCACCAACAGAAGGTGGAGCCAGTGATGTAGAGTAAACTCCAATGTCTAGCTTTCACATCAGCACTTACCCAGTATGGCATAGTAAAAAGGGAACTGGGCAGGGTCAGTTGAGTACTGGGGGAGTGCATAGAGACCACCAGGTAGGGAGTTCCACAACAAACGGTTTCTGGACACATGGGAGTCCACGCGGTCCTGGATGATCTGGATGGAAGAGAAAGAGGAAGGGAAAGGGAGGATGTGGAGAGGAAAGCATGTGAGGAGAAAGGGAAGGAAGAAAGATTTAATGTAAAAACAAATTATATAAATTCAAAAGAATAAAAGAGCAAAATCCGAAAAAGGAGGCGAAAGGGGAGAAAACAGAATGACGTGCAAGTGAGAAAGAGGAGAGAGAAAGTACGAGGTGGAGGAGTGAAGATATAAAAGGTGTGACAAGAGGAAAATAAAGACAAAGATGTGATTAGTTCAATAATTTCCTTTTCTTCCTTTTTCATACACTCAGCTTCCCAAGTTTAACTGAGTGGGCTTACAGACGTCGGTCACAGAGCATCAATACATACACATACTCAGTATAGTACAACAGCACTGCTCTCCTGCTTCTTAAAGCTCCAGTGTGTAACATTTAGGAGGATCTACTGACAGATAATTGAATATATTTGTGTATAATTCCTTGTAGATAAGAATGGTTACAACTGTTTTTGTCTACTTCTAGAAAGTCTGCCTGTTGAATATGCTACAGTTATTTGTGCATTTTGTGGCCACCATAGTTTCCATTTTTGAGCTTGGAAGGGGAGGGTGAAGCGAGGGAGTTGCAATTCACCGCTAGATGCCACTAAATCCAGCACACTGGTCCTTTAAGTTACAGTTAACATTTTAAAAACCATTGTGTTTATTTAAAGTCGTATTTAAAGCCAATTAAGGAAGAAACCGAGCTGGAAATGAATTCAGTCACTGTTATATTTCTATTTTCCATCAATATGTCGGATCCAGGAACAATAAATTAGCTTTAGAAGCACAAGGACACATCATACGGCTGATTCCAGCCCTCCAGACAGGCACTAATACCTGGAAATAAAAACAGCTGTTTGGCTGCAGCTGGAGCTTTGGGAACTCGAAGACGAATGACTCCACAGACCTGAGATACTTGAACTCCTTCATTTGGGGCATCAACTTGCTCCCAACATGAGGAGTCCATTAGTTATTCAGCTAATACAGACCATCTGGCTTGTTAGCAAAGGTCAGGTTAGTTGGTTGAGTGTTGTGAGACTTCAGGGGCCCTCAGAGGAAGACCGATGACACAACTTCAACCTGCCGCTGGGCCTCTGAACGCACGCACGTCTAAAGTTCAGCAACAAGGAAGTCATTTGTTTCCTGTAATTATACTCAGATATTACTGTTCATTTTAAAACGATAGCGTTAAGGAATAAGTTATAAAAGCTTTAAAGTATGATGTTTCTTTGAGGACTCTGTTCACATCAGTGGTGGAAGTATTGAAGTCCTTTATTTAAAGGTCATATGTGAGATTTAAAAACTAAATATCTACGTCTATCTCTGTAGGGATCCTTTCTATAATGTTGTCAGACACTGAGAGTAACAATCTGAGTCTGTCAGTGGCAACAAAACACAAGATACATGAAAAACAAGAACTTTTAGTGGACAGGCTTCGATGGAGCGTTTGTCCCCCAAGGGATTAGCCAACATTACATAGCAGCAATAACAGCCTGTACTGCGGTTATTTTGATGTTAAAAATATAATAGAATCCAACCTCAACTACTCCTTCATATACAATTAAAATAAGATAATTTTAATTTCAAACGAATGGCAAAGGTCAAAGCTGCCTGAGAATGTGTGCAACGGGTTGATAAGAATAGGTGCAGGTTTTGGAGTTTGTAAGTTAGGTGGGGAGTAAGCAGGAAAGCCATCAACTGTAGGTTTCTGAAGGACTGCATGTCGCTGATATTCATCTTCATCCAGAAGAGAAGAGCTTGTTCAATAATTTCCCTCAATCAGCAAGCACAGTGGCAGAGTGAATTAACGAGTTATCAAGTGACATTTAGGATCAGTTATGCTAAAAATAAGGCAAATAAAAATGAAAAGTGAATATATGATGTTAGTAACAGAAATATTTTCAGAAATAATGAGCTTTCTTGTAGTAATGGAACGTTGTAGTGGCCCCAAGACAGCTTGAGTTTGGGACTGCTTTAAGTAGCAATAATCAGGGTTGGAGATAACAAATTACTGCTCATGTTACTGGAATTAATTCATTTGGGGTTTTTTTTTTTTCAAGCCTGTGGTTATACTTTTACTTAAGTAAGCATTACACTATGTAACCTAATGTAATCTAATGACTTTTAAGATAAATGTGGAGTGGAAGAATAAAGTAGCTTGAAACTGACACACTCAATGGGCAAGTACCTCAAATTTATACTTGAGTAAATGCACACACACACACACACACACACACACACACACACACACACACACACACACACACACACACACACACACTCTTATGTCAGGAATGAAAGACACAAATACAAAGTGAGAGTGACACACACACACATATACTGCATTTGTATTCCATTATTAAGGGATGAAAGCTGGTGACTGACACTGGCAGAGGGATGATCATGTTGCTGGCTGCCTCACCAGATTCTGACTGACAAGCTTTTGTGGGATTGAGCAAAAAAAAAAAAGAGAAAAATCTCACAACCACTAGTTCTGTTGTCCTCCTTTTCCTCCTCCTCCACTCTCATTTAATTCCCTTTCCCTCCACTTGTCACCAATTCAGGCAATAAATTCAGGTCCCCCATCTGACAAACCCCAGCAGACTCTCTGAAGGTGTGATGGCTTTATTTACTTGGTGCTAAAGAAGTGTTTTTACGCCACAGAAGCACGCTTCATTGAGTCAGTATGAGATAAGCATATGCATGAGTGTGTGAATACTAACCAGTGTTTGGGGGTTTTAAAAGCTCATCTCTGGCATTTTCATCTGTACGCTGCTCACAATAAAGTGACTGGAATTACATTTATACCACTTTAATCTGTTTCTCTCTGCATTACAGAGACATAATGGGACATAATGTGCAATAATGGCACAATACGCACAATAACATGGACATACATATATTCTCATATTCAACTCACCAAGCAGCAACTTATGATCCTCACAGTTACCCATTTCTATATTTATGGCCTTTGGACCTGCAGGCATATTGTGATTTTGTGTATATTTTGTCTGCCATATGATTCATGATTACTGTGGGAATGATTATTTTCACACTAACCTAACAATTTTCATGATAATGATAATGGGATGTTCGTTAAGGTCTATAGTACCTGCAGTCTCTGCAGCACTACAGTACAGTTCTTTATAACGCTCATATGCGTCCGTGATTTGGATATAGCACTTGGCCATATTGTGATTTTAATCATATTTTGATTAATTGTGCAGCCCTAATCTGTTTATTTATATTTTCATACTTGGACCGTTTATTAAAAGTTCATCTTTGGCACTTTTTATATTTACACTCGTTCTTTGGACTGCAATTGCTGCACAGCAGTTTCCCCTTAGGATGAATAAAGTTCCATCTTATATTATTACAGTTTGACATAAAAACGGGGAAACACATTACAGCTTTTAAAAGGAGCACATATCTGAAAATGTAGATTTTTAATCTTTAATATAAAATGTATTTATGTAATTCTAATTCATTGATTGCTTGAAATGAGCACAAACTAGGACATTTATTGTGAAGGTGTGAACCATTTAAAAATCAGAAAATGCTTTAGAAACAATACTAATTTAATTTACATTTTCATAAATGTATAAATAAACACAGATACAGAGAACCAAGTCCGGAAAAACACATTTTCTAGGCATCCTGTATTTCTTTTTTCTCTCTGACTGCAGAGCTACTGATCTGTGGAGAATTGGCTTGGCACTTACAGCCAGCTCTTAATACACACACACACACACACACACACACACACACACACACACACACACACACACACACACACACACACACCTCCTGACACCAACTGTCAGGCTCGCAGTATGTGGGACACTACAGTTATCAACAACGCCTCATTTCACCCATTTAGCCTGGTGGCGTGCTGGCTCAGAGTTTTTAGCACATCTGGCCAGCAGTATACGGCTGTCAGTGGGCTTCTGTCTAATTTCATACCCTGCTAGCACTGGGCATTTGGGGTGTCACTGAGGTCTTGTTTTCACTGTGATTTTAAGAGGAAAAAATGCAGCAATTTGAGGAATGTTTATTTTATTGAGATTAACAAATGCTTTCTCGAGATTCTGGACTCGTGCGATCTGCTAAGAGCCACATTCAGTCTAAAGCTCCGCCTCGACGTGTTCTCGCATGTTGGAAATAATCAGTTTGGTCTAAGTGAGAGGGTTGCGTCTGCAGTGGAGGAGAACGACTAATCCATAACAATGACTGTTTTTGTGTTAATTAATACGTGAGCTAAACTCATGTAGGCTGATATTGATTGTCAAATAACTGGGTATTGAATAGAATCATGACATTTCACTGGTATTGGTATCGATTACTACATTTCTGGTATCCTAACATCCCTAGTTAACATAATGTATTTTAGTGGACTTCTTAGAATGACCCTCGTTCCTATCACTTCAATCCACCTAAACGGTTTAATGTACGAGAGCTTCAGGCAAGTGCAACCTGCCTTATCTTAATTTCACATGTCAGCTTCAATTCAGCTTCATCTTTGGGTCTTGAGTCTCTTTCGTCGTTGTCTTGGAAACTGAGACGTCACTTCTTGTCTGGTGCAGGTGAGAGTTGGCAATTAAATACCAGGTGACGTAATACAGAAAATAATCCCTTCCTCGACACTTAATTAATTTGTTTGCAGACAAAGAGTCATCACCAATATCCAGTATCAGTCTCTAATAGCAGTCTCTCCTTCGTTTTTATCGGATTTTACAACAACACCTCTTGTCCTCTAAAAACCACTTCTCCTTATCTTGAATTGTTCTTCTCTTATTCTTTATACGTCACATCATTTCATGTGTCTTTCTCCTGATCCTTCTCCTCAAACATCTCCACATACAGTATCCCCCCCATACCCCTCAGCCATAAGCAGCAGCTGATCAGGGTATATTCCTTTGTGATGCAGATACACTCACACAAGAAGAGGTTTCAACCCTCCTCCATGCTAAACCCCCTTACAATGGGCAACTTACACTCAGTTACCAAACAACTAAAGGACCAGTGTTATATTTTCTGACAAGAAAGAGAAACAGCAGACTGAATGACAGGGAGATGATAGATTGCTTTTAACTTTATCCCTGACAGCCTACTGTAGTCTGTAGATGTAATATAACATTATATTACACAAACACAGTAAAGAGTTTCACTTTTCTGTGCTGGTCCAAAAACTGAAGAAACAATCCCAAAACTAAATCTTGTTTTGACACAGAATGCTGGAAGTCTGTCACAGTTTGGGGAGAGATGACCAGTTCATTATAGTTCATAATAATGCAGCAGTGAAACAAGCATACAGTATATGATACAGATCTGTCAGTCTGTCACTGTCTGCAAAGCAGTTCATTCATTTCACTGATAAACCACAGAACAGTAGAGTAACACCAGGCTTCATGATCAAAGAAAGTTTTTATCACGTCCACACTTCTGTCCACATTCAAACGCTCCCTCTCTCGCTCATCTACAGTACAGGAGCTCTCTCTCTCTCTCTCTCTCTCTCTCTCTCTCTCGTGAGTCTGCATCTGCTTACTTTGAGCGAGTGCTGCAGCCTCAGCATCCCTACTCCCCACATCCATCACACAACCCTGCGCTGTGCGTCCGCTGCCGGTTTAGCCATTAAAAAGGGGCATTCTGCAGCGCATCCACTCCGCTTACAATGCGCATATATGTTTAGGTGATTGTACACTAATAAAAACATACCTTGAACTGTTACATTGCATTTCTGCCAACAGATCCTTCTAAATGTTACACACTGGACCTTGAAGAAACAGTCTCTATGTGCAATTCTTCCAAATATAAACTGTATAACCTTGAATGTATACGGTGTAAAAATAAATGCTAATGTATACATTTCAACCAATATATTGTGGACCAAATACAGTGATTTTAATCTAAAATACAGTGAATCCAACCTCATTTTAGTGCGTATGCAAATGACTGATGTCCCAGGTTAGTAATTATATCTCAGATTTCGTTCCTAGCCTGAAGTTCACGGTGCTTCAGTGTTATTGGGAATGATGATAAAAAGTGATGGTGATAATGATTTTAGTATTTGTAGTGATGATTGTAAACAATAATGTGTGCTACAAGAGAGATCAGAGTGACTGTATCGCTGTTTATGTGCTGCTGCTGCTGCTGATGGAGGTAATAAAGAGGATTATTAATGTTCTGTGTCTGTATTCAAAGATGCTACAGAGAGCAAATAGTCCCTGAGGACTGAATCAAGGCTGCGAGGAACTGAACTAACAACAACGGAGAGTAAAATAAGAGGAACGCTCTCATACGCCAATGAGACAAGTTCATCTTCTGCACTTGAGCTAGCAAGGTCATTTAATGAGCCAGCCTCTAGCTCTTTAGTCTTGAGAGTACAGGCATGTACACCCACACACACACGCACAGAGCAGCCTCTCTAACCCAAGGGCTGCCAGGCAGTACAGACCTCCTTCACATTTGACACTTCCCACTGCCTCTCATGCTCACATTGTGTTTCAGGCATCCAAATGCTTGTTTCCAGTCTATTTGTTATGTTAAAATCAACTTTATTTTTGTGAAAGGTTGTCAGGTTGCTGTGTGCATCAGTGCCCTCCTTCCTAATATACATGTTAACATAATGGACAAATTATTCTTCATGTTAATTCATAACCCAAAAAACCCTATACAGCAGCAAATGGCTCAATAATGGCTCTCAAAAAGAGTTCTGTGTCCAACGAGTGTCCCATAGTTTTCAGTCTAACTCGCCTATGTACATATCTATTGAGCATCATCATTAACTAATTAACTTATATTAACAATGAATTTAATGACTAATGTGGAAGGTGTACTTGCAGTGACAAATTTACTAGACTCTGCAGCTCCTCCACTGAGCATTTTAGCATCTTTCAGCTCCTTGTTTTGGTTTTACAGCCTTCCACTTCACCAACTGTGTGCTTCCTACAGCACCAAATGGCAGACTATCAGTGTTAGCAGTAATGTAATGCATTACAAATGGGGGGATAACAAGACACAGGTGGAAATAATCAGGACGGGGGACACGATCAAAACTGTGAAAACAAGACACAAAAGGAAGAGAATAAAATAGAAATAGAAATAAAACAGGAAGAAGCAAACCAAACCCGAAATCATGACCATGACCCCTTTCATGTACAAAAACAAAGGTAACAGATGAGTGAATATCAGACTCCAAATAAATGTCGATTTAGGTTGACAGTGCTTGCTTTAAACATCATCGTGAGTACCTACAGATAGTTTATGTAGTATTTCTAACATTTTAACAGCTTCGTTGAGATTCAGCAATTCAACCTTTTCACAATTATAAACATTTTCTGATATTACACCGCTGTGGTTAAGCTTTGGTTGCATATACGGACTATCCAAATAAAGTGTTAGCGTGTGTAAAAAGTTTAATCAAAGTAGAACATACGCTTTTTAAAAGTAAAAAATCTGCAGTGATCACATTTCCCAGGTCATTTGACTGTACTCAAATCCAGTCACAACAACCTCAGATCTGACTGTTCAAGAGTTTACGTATTTAAGAAGAGAACTATTTTTGTATGTGCTCAATGGAAGTTTTTTAAATGCAACACACTGACCTCAAAACACACTTCATTAAAATCTATGTGTGAGGCGCCCTTGAGCGAGACAAATAACCTCCACTTATGTCAGTGGAGCTACACTCTGTGGTTATTGTCAGAAGACTATATAATAGTGTATAATAATGTATGGTTGTGAAAAGAGGGGACACACTCAGTTAACCTTCTTTGGATAAAAAAGGTTGGGAAATACAACCAGAGGAAGACGTGTAGAAAGCTTGGTAGTTTGGTTGATTAAATAAAGCTCTCCCGAGAAAAAGGAAACCCAAAACTCCCATTAAGACCATTTTTCCAAGCTTACCTCCAGAGTAGTTAAGACGATTTTGGCTACAGAAGAAAAGTAGGCGTCCCAGAGGAACTGAGTCTGCTGGCGGAGAGCCAGGATCCTGTCATGGCCCACAGACCGGGTAATGGAGGAAACCTGGAGGAAGAGGAGAGGAAGAAAAGCAAGAGGAGAAAAATGACAGTGAAATAGATTAAGTCAGATTTTAAACAATGTTGAGCGAGGCGATGAGAATCAGTGTGTAGAAGGGAAAAAAAGACAGTTGGAGGAAGCATAAGTAATTTTGTGGACATGCAGGAAAGATTAGAGGTAATTCTTTCTTTCCTCAAGACTCTTCTACTCCCACATCTCACTGTCCGTCAGGTAGCTTATCCCCAGGATAGTTTGGTTTCTAAACCACCTGCTATCAATCTCTCATTCTGTATTCACACTTAATGGTAGATACTAAATGAGGTCCATTAAAAAAGGTTAAAATTAATGGATTCTCAACCTTTTTTTGTGTGACATATTCCCATGTACTCCTGCACTGACACCTCCTGTCATGTTCCAAGTGTGTTCTTGCTTCCCCCGGTTAGGATTCCTTTAGTGTTCATCGTTCAAGAGGTTTCTACCTGGAGCTGAATTATCCGCAGAGTACTCTCCGACCCTCCAAAAGAAAAAGACCCGCTGATTTAAACCACTAAAAACACTGAATAAAGCACCTTAGAAATCAGTGTTTTTCCAATTCTCATTTATTTTCTTTGAATGAATACCAAGTGACAACAAATCATGAAGCTGTGTTTTTGTACCTCAACCTGTTCATCTGCTTCAAGGAGTTCTGCAACAACAACGTACCAACAAACCCTGCAGACCTGCTCATAGGACAAATATCCTGGTCCTGGTGCACCGGAGGCAAACTGAGGTCCAAGCTCACATTGTCATGGAAGACATGAGCAGCTGGCTCGTGTCTTGCAGCAGTAACACCCCTCAGGGAGAGGCAGCGGAGGGCTGAAATCAAGGGAGACGAGGATCCTGCCAACCTGATCAGGGAGCTAAACATCCTGATATGCCAGGAAGATGGATCAGGATGCTCTCTTGGTGCCCAGTTTAGAGAAAAACAAACTGCCTCCTTGATGAGGTCAGACATGACCTTAGCTGCCTCGCTCAGATTGACAATGAAGCTGAAAGGGGGAACAAACAGCTTTGTAGCCAATGTTCCTGAAGAGGCTCATCATCAGCCCTGAAGAGGTGGTGGATCTGGAGCCCAGGACCCTTCTGGTGTTCTGGCCACAAACCCAACCTCTCTTCACTGAAAGTAACGGTGCCAACCTGTTGAACATGGCCAAGGGGGAAAGCCACTGAGGTCTAAAAGAGACATAATGACTGATGATCCTTGAATATTAGAGAACAACCAGAGCTGAAACACTGGTTGCCATCCAGGGGAACGTTCTGAGAGTTTGGCTCCATCTATTGTGAGCAAGGAGCTTCTCCTCAAATTGTGGAGCTTTGCGGAGCCTAACGAAGCAGCTGCAGGCAGCAGCAAGCTGGTTTTCATATCCCAACACATTCAGAGGTTGATCTGTTTCCTCAGGCTGCCACTTTTTGAAAAAGTTAAAATAAGGAAAGAAAAAAAAGAAATCAGTGAGTAGCCTATCCATAAATAATTTTTAGCTGTAATTACGACAGATTTTCAACAAGAAACGGGTTGAGATGTCAATGTTGCTTGTGCCTTGTTTGCTTTGTGCCAAGATGACATCTTCAAATGACTTGTTTGGCCAACACATCACAGAGATATTGAATCTACAACGACATAAAACTGAGGAAAGATTTGAAAGCTCGAACTGGAGAGTTCTGACAAGTAAAATAGTAATGCTCTCCAGTTTCCATCCGTTTAGAGAGGGAGCAAGCTCAACCGCTCACCCAGGAGATATCGAAAAATATCCTATCGGAAAAATATTTTGCTTCGATTTTTGTGTTTAAACTCCAAACAGCTGGATAGCAATGTTGTAAATCTGAACTGAGGGTTATGATGTTGGATGTTACATGGATCGTGATATATACAAATGCAGTTCCAAACACATTATATCGCCTTTCTTACAGTATTGCAGTATATGTCACAATATATTGAATGGTAACCCCTGTATCGTGATATGTATCGTATCGCCAGATTCTTGCCAATACGCAGCCCTGTTGTTTCTATCCTTGTTTGACTGCATGGCAAAATAATACAAGCAGCAGCAAAGAAGGGTGGCTTCGTACATTAGCAGAGGCAGTGACAATATTGTTTGATATTTTCAGTTAGGAAAGCAGTTAGGTAGCCACACTAGCTATCACATTTTATTATTGCCAATGCTACTTTTAAATGTAAATTTTGCTGGGCAGAATTGGTCCTGACTGTATTCTGCCATTAACGGTGCCTTCGCTGCCGAACTTGAGTGACACGCCAACATTACAAGGCAGATGTGTTTGATAAAGTCAGTAAACAGATGGACGAAAAGCTTCCCCGACTGGAGTACAAGGCAGTTAATTTGAACAGATAGTTACAGAATAACAATTTGCATTATGAATAAAAAGTGACAGCTCTAGTGTTTTTTGCTGCCCTTTACAGTAAGCAGAGACCTGTAGCAACACTGACAGCTCAGAACATCTGTTGGTAATAAAAAATAAAGAAACAAAAGCCTCTTAAAGTAAAGTAAACACAAAGATCTGTTAAACTACAGAATCTTTGCTATTGAGGCTGATTTTCGTTCAGACTTTTGTATTGTTTAACCCTTTGGTAACTTTTAAGATGTACACAATAAATCGTAACTTTCTAGTTTGTGAAAACTGAAAAAATCGAAATGAATGTCCTAGAAAACCTCCCATTCACCGAGGAGCCTGAAGACACAGCTGAGGAGGTTGAGTTGCTGTTGACGTCACTGGGATCTGTCGACGGCAGAGCGAGCTTTAATTGTTCACCTCTCTGAGGTAGAATATAAACAACACCAATCAAATCAGCTCAATTCTCTTCCCCTCCATTGACTCTAATGGTGTTTATGTTTCTCAGCAGGGGCATTGTGTGTGTTTTTGTGGGTGCGTGGGTGTCTGTGTGCGTCTCCTCTCCACAGGGGGAATAAAAACTCTACATATTAAACAGCCAGGCATTGCAGTTCTCAGTGATGTAATTGAAAGTAATGAGATTCAACTCTCAGCAGGTGTTAGTGCGCCGATGTGTCGAACAGTGAGTCTCTGTGTGAATATGACAAAGAGACAAAGAGGGCAAGTATCCAGAATCTGTTTACCAATCAGACCCATGTTCTTGTTTTTGTCTTTGTATTATCTGCAGATGCTGTCATTTGGACCAAATAATTAAATGATTTCTGGGTATTTTAATGCGTCTAATTACTTTAAAGTGTTCAGTTGACTGTGCAATAAAGCCTGAATCCTAAGCTTTAAAGAGTCTGACACTTCCTTTACACAAACTGATTTCATTCCTGCCACCTTGCCAGCTGTCTCACTACTGCAGGAGACAAATTAAGCAGCTTCAAGGTGTCCTCACAACACAAGAAGCTTTGTCTGATAAAAAACAAGAATGCCCTTCCTTTAATGCCACACCCATTAACCTGCCTGTATGAAACCATGAGTTTATCACACGTGAAACACCTTCTTATATCTAATAAATGTACATACAGGCATGTTAGTTTTCTGTTCAGTTCACGTTTAAAGATGTAAGGCATCATAAAAATGTTAATTTGAGCTGTGCCGCTTTTGTAAGGAAGAAAAAATAAATAAAAATGCAAAAAAGTCATGTGAGTCTGGGGTAAAAAGTTATTTTTTGGCATTATTTTTGTTGAGTTGTCAAACACTGCCATGTGACGCTGTAGTGTCCCCCCGTTTCTGGACGCGCCCACCGAGGACCCTCAATCCGTATTTGCATGGTATTTCAATTATTTTATCTTATAGATATATTTGATAACTTCAATTATTTTTGATTGAAACTCACATTTTAAAAGCTTTAAACATGTTTTGAAAGCATTTTGATAATTTGACAAACAATTAACCAATCATTAAAACAGTTGCAGATCTCATTTTCTGTCAATCAGTAATGGTTTAATAATCAAATTGTGGATGTATTATTTAATTTCAAAGACAAACCCAATTACAGAGCAGAGACCACAGACCTACTGAAATATACTGTACAACAGGCCCAGTTAATTGGCCATATGGCCATGAAGCAGCTCTATACAGATCCATTTCAAAAGAACTCTGACATTGTGAAGGAGGCCAGATGCCAATATGTGCAGGTAAGGAAGCATTACTACAGTATATTGTAATGCCTTGTCATATCATGCAGTTAGAGTCAACTGGAGTCACTTTTTTTACTTAGAGAATAATGGAGCTTGAAGCTGAAGGGGGAACATCATGTCTTCATTTATGTTGATGAAGCCGGCTTCAGTCTCTGTAAAGTGAGGAGACGTGGAAGGAACCTCATTGGGTACAGGGCCACTATCACAGTTCCAGGACAGAGGGGCGCCAACATAACCATGTGTGCTGCCATCTCCAGTGATGGTGTCCTATGCCATACCCCCACTACTGGCCCATACAACACCGAGTGCCTCATAACATTCCTGAATGCACTTCATGACAGGCTGATCCCACCTGAGGAGAGAGGACTCTTCGTCATTATCTGGGACAATGTGGCGTTCCACCACTCTCGCTTTGTCAGTGAGTGGTTTGCAGTACACCCTCGAATGATGATGCAGTTCCTTCCAGCATATTCCCCATTTTTGAATCCCATAGAGGAGTTCTTCAGTTCTTGGAGGTGGAAGGTTTATGATCACCGTCCCTATGAGCAGATGCCCTCGCTGAATGCAATGACTGCTGCTGCCCAAGAAATAGGTGCAGAGGAATGTCAAGGTTGGATAAGGCGTGCAAGAAGATTTTTCCCACAGTGCATTGCAAGAGAGGATATTGAATGTGATGTGGATGAGGCCATGTGGCCCCATCGTCAAGACAGAAGAGACTGAGTATCAATAGTGGCTATTTCTTATACTCTACAGTAATAGATTTTTATACTTTACTGTAAAAGATTTTATTTTTATTTTCTTAATTTCTTATTCTCTAATAGATTTTATTTTGGTTCACATGTATTGTGTGTAATATTTACAGTATTTCAGTTTTCAGCCACCGTTTGAAAAAAAGAATCAATGGAATCAATAAAATTTGCATCAAAGCATTTCTGATTCTGGATCCAATTCTTTGCGAGAAGGCGAATTTGACAACAAATGGCACTGGCATGAAAGCTACGTACAGTAATAGGCTGCAATGACAAGCAATGGTGCACTGATTTGCACTGAGTGCTGTATTTGTATTTTGTTGTCCACTGTGTAATGGTTGACTGGAAGAGCTCATACACTTGTTTGCAAGTTGTGGTGTTTGAAGGCAAAATTTGCTTTTGTTGCATATTTTAAATGTTTTGGCACCGTTCGAGCCTTTTGCAAACAAAATGTGTCATTTTGAGCATGAGTGTCACTGTTTCGGCCTGTATGTTAACTGTTTTGAAAATGTGGAGTTTGAGTTGACTGCTGCATCAAAGTAATCAAGAAAAACTGTAACCGGAGAGGAAACAGTCTAGTGATGATCGGAGGAACACAATCCAATAACAAACACTGTTCAGCGGACTGGAGGGTTACAGCGTTCCACAGGTTTAATGGTGTGTGTTCAAATGTGACAGGTCACTGAGTGTGTCACTCTCTACAAGTAAAAACTGTGTGCAAAGCAGTCATCATGGGTTTGATTGTTTAATGTTGTGTACTCAGGTTTTACCTTGAAAGCCTTGGAGTTATTTGTTGTTATCCCGGCCTCTATATATCTTTATTAATTGCTCATATGTCTGCAACAACACTAACTCTGTAATAAACCCTCAGTGTCAATACATAAAGCCAACAATTAACACGCTTTTAGACAGAGGGCTCTGTTTTGTTGAAGGGAAAAACCAAAACAACATTAGTGCATCATTGTCAGTCTCAGTAATGTTCAATGATTAAAATGCGGCTTTATTCCATCTAAAAGCCAAGTTTGTAATACTTTTTGTCTTGTCTGCTATTGTGTGGTTCACAGAGAAAAATGAAATCATCATCATCAATAGGTGCTGATAGAGGGCTGACCAGGGACACGTTAATTAAAGTGAGACACATAGAGTCTCCAACCCCTAACACACACACACACACTCACACACCTCTGTGCTGCTGTCCAGGGGGCGGTATAGGTCACGCAGGTGGCACTCACTAATACAGAGTAATTAGAGAATGTAAATATCACAAGCTTCGCCCGCAGCCGTAATTAAAGGGAACAGAAGGAGATCCAATTGTAGAATAATCTGTCTTAGATAAAAATAGTTCTTGGCAGAGGTGTGAGTGACTGTGAATATCACAGCTGTCACGTCAGAATGAAATACAATTTACTACAAGCCACACGACGGCAATTAGACGTTCCTCCTTCTCCCGGTTGAGCTGGGAGTAAGTATATGTGTTGAAGATGCTAATAGATTATAATGCTCTCTGAGCTGAAACCTTTGGGATAATGAACATTTTCCATCCATTGCTTTTGTGCAGTTAGTGCTGATAATACTAAACTCTGACCAGAAACCCGTCTAATGTTTAATAATGTGACTGAACTAAACCTGAATCACTCTTTATTAAATCGGCCTGATGTCTATCGATAGATATATAGATATATAGATTTAACCAGAGAAATATATTGAGTGTCAACTGCTGGAAAAAGTATTCAGATCATTTACTTAAATGAAAGTAATACTACCACACTGTACACTTTATGTAGGTAAAAGTATATAAGTATAATAAGCTAAATGTACTATTCATTCCACTGAAAAACAGCCTTTTTTCAGCTTTGTGACAATGCATTCTCCATCTGATCCAAGAGTAAACAGTTTATTCTGCTTAAGAAGAAGGAGTATTTCAATCCAGCCTCCAGTTTATCAGGTGAACTTAAATTCAAAATCATCAAACTATGAGCTACATGGTTTTCACTGGACAGGAAGGGTGTGAAACATTAGAATCTGACAGGTAACTAGTGAGTAAAGCTGTCAGACAAATATAATAGAGTATACTGGAAGTGTCAAGTTAAGTAAAATGGGAATACTCAAGTAAAAGTACCACAAACTTAAAGCCCCAATTGTGGCGCCCCCTGTGGACAACAGCTGTAGTGTGTCTACCACCCTTTAAATTGACTTAAAGGGGACTGACCAAATCTTGTGCAGATTAAAAATAATAATAAGAAACCGTCAGTTTATAGCACTCAGACAGAGGCTTCAGTATTAAACTGAGACTGTCAAATCACCTTAGTTTCTCTGAATGCATTTTGCTTTTAAAAAAGCTTCAACAGAAATCAAGCTGCAGTTCTGTTAGACAATAGCAGCATATTGTACACGTCTGTTCTCATAGATTCTAACAGCGATTCCTGGTGTACGTGTTGTTGCTTCTGCTTGAATCCGCCCCAGCTGGATCTTTGTGATTTCCCACTGGGATCTGGAGCCAGAGATGACAATTATATCTGGGAAGATGTTGGCATTTCACCACCCAGACACTGAATTAGCCCCAGCTGAAAGGGCACATTTTATCTTGTTCACACAATGCCGTGTGAGGAAGGTTCGCCCTCTTCTTCCAGGTTACTCGGATTAGCTTTTACTAACCTCCATCCCTGTACCAGCTGTAATTGTATAATGTAATAATAAATGATTTTATTTCTATACATCCCTCCGTGTCCCTTCTGTCTGTATTATTTTCATAGTATTTTTCATCTGTTCAGTCTCCTGTAAAACCATAAGTCAATATGTAATATTTATTACTGTATGTTTATATAAATATGTATTTTTTATATACATTCTATATTCTATATTCTGTCCTTGTGCAACACCTACATTTGGGAAATCCATCCATGCATTTGTACCTGTAACAGAAGTCTCTCGTCTCCAATGATGGCGGCCTTCCTCCAGTCGATGACTTCAGAGAAGGGAAGCTCCCAGCCGTTACTGAGAATAACGGGGATGCAAGCCGCCTGTTCGGGAAGAGAGAGAGCGAGAGAACAAAGATCAGTAAGACAAGAAATCACAAGTGGGCAGCAAATGGTCTTTGCCTAACGGGTGTAGGAAGGGAAAGCAGTCGTCAACAGAAGGTGGGTTTCCATCCATCTGTCTTTATGCACATTTTCACTTTGAGGAGGAAAACGGTGGAGATACGCTCTGCTGTGGAGAAGTTGGTGTGTCGATGAAAAGGAAACAGATTCAGCGAATGAAACATGACGTACACGAAGCGTGACTGAAATGTGAACTGAAGAGATTCAATGATTTAATAAAACTATTTTAAAGACTTATTGAGATGAACCTGAACTGTTGAGATGCAGTTAATGGACACATAGATAGAAAGTTTTCATGTGTTTCTGTCAGAGGACGACTCTGCTTCAAAAAAAGTTTGTGTTGACAAGTTTGAGAGCGGAAGAGAAAACTCCAAAGCAACAGTAAACAGTAAAAGTCTCAGCAGAAGTTTAAAGCGGAGCACTGGGAGGGATCTGTTTATTCTCTTAGGTAGTTTGTGTCTGATGAGACACTTTTAAAAGTGCTCCTGCTAAGAGTTTTTCAAGAACAAATGGAGTTGCCAAAAAGATTAAGGACAAAATAAAGTGCATTTATTTATTTTCCCCCGTATGCATCAATATTTAGAGGATTCATTAATGTGACTTAATTCATCAGGAGCTGCTTTCATTTCCCACAGGAGCTCCATTCGTTTTATGATGAGGCTCTTGAAACTGTTCATCATTTGTGGTTAATGGATCGGACTTGATTGTGCACCATTAAACTGTGTGTTTAAAGGGAAAATGTGCTGTTTTCTGGGTAATTTCTTTCACTTTGTATATATTTTATGCCTTGTCTGTAAGCCTGTGGTGGACTTTCATTATATTCTGAGCTTAAAGTATGTAGCAGATATTAAATTAATGGTAATGGGAATTAGCCAAAGCCAGTTTCTTATCTAAGAAAGCAGGTTTCATGAAAAATAATGTAAAAACTCACAGTTGAAAGTGCTGAATGGTAAAAGTATATAAAACAGAAAGGGGGCACATTTGCAAGGCGGTTATTTTTACGTTTTCTAACCCTGTAATGGTGGGAATCACAGGTTAAACCTAAAGGAGCTTTTCAAACACCAGCGTTAAGTTCACTGTTTGTTTTACAAGGAGTTTGTCAGAAATCAGAGCTGGAAATTCTTCTGACACAACGTAGAAAAGATGGTTGTAAGCCTTTCAGTGCTTATTATTTAACCCAGTGAGTCAGGTAAGACCAGAAGTAGAGTTGGGATTGATGCTACTTGGGAATTCCGAACTTTTCTGAGGTTGTTTCCGAGGTTGGCTCCCAGTACATTTTAGAAGTGAACTGAGTTTTAATGCTTGTTTTTAAGGCTCTACATAGTCTGGCACCCCTATATCTCTCTGACATCCAGGTCATGTGAAACAGGCCGTCTGGTTATTCCCCGGGTCTCCACGGAGAGCTTTTAGCCTCCGAGCTTCTGGAACTTTCTATCAAATCAAGTTAGATGTGCCCCAACGCCATTGTCTTAAAAACCTAAACTGAAAACAATCCCTTTCAGCTGAACCTCTCAGTAGTCTGGTCTTAACTGCAATTTTATTTTATTTTATCTTCAGCATGGGCTTAGACCACAATTTGTGAGAGAATGAACGCAGAAGGGCCGAATAAGGAAGCGCGGTTTCAACTCAGAACATCTAATAAAGGCAAGTCTCAATATCATTTTTTTGTTGTGACCCATTTGTACTCTTCCTTGGATGTGTTACAGAAAGAAATATTGAAGATTAAGATTGAGATTACAAGAACAACCTCATCAGGAAGAAGAGTGTGTGTGTGCCAAAGTTCATCCTGACTGAAGTTATCGTTCATCCCGACCTCAATCAAGCTGCTGAACTCTGGTCCAACAGAGCAATGAGCAATAAATAAACCAGCACTTCAATTCTTACAGTCCTCTCTTACAGTCTCTTCTTAAGCTGTCGTATTGTCAGTGTTAAAATACTCCAATGTGTCTTTCAGGTTGTAGCACCATGCCCAAACACATTTCCCCCTCAGGGACAATGAAGTGTACTCTATTCTATAGGTTATGGACCCCTGCTGGTTTAATGAAATGTGCCATGTAAATAAAGTTTTGCTTGCTTTGCATTGAGCACTTACAGGCAGTAAATGAAATGATGCTATAATGCAGCTGTAAGCAGGTATGAGGACATTTTAAGTGAACATAAAACTTTCCTTGCAAGCTTTGGAAGTTCTAATTTGTTTTTAAACCCTTAAAGTCTGGCTGTAATCAATACTGATGTCAATTAAATGTATTTGCTCTATTTGAGAGAATCCAGGATGTCAGGTGTCAGGTGATTGAAGTGAGGCTTCACTTTAATGACATACTGTATGGTATGATTTGTATATGTAGTCTCAAGCAGTGGAGCAGTCTCAGGGAAAAATAAAACAAAATCAATAAGTCTGGTATTTTCATTTAAAGTTCAAGTTCGACTGGATTCTCAATCAAGTGAAGCTGAGAGATTAAAGGAGATTCACAAAATGCCAGGAGCATGATCAGTGACCTGTCTACGCAAATTCTCCCTGCCTTGATTAGTCTGGCTTTGTGGGATGACTTTCTCTTTTCTTTGCTCGTCTTTCTCTCACTGTCACCTTCTTACATCTCTCTTTGTTTTTCCGTCCTCTCCTCCGCTGTCCTCTGAATTTTGATGATTAGTACACCTTTTCACAGAGGACCTCTCTTCTTTTGCTCTTTTTCTTTTCTCACCTGTGGCAAACAGGTCGGATCTGCAGAAAAAAGCCATTAAAGTAATTGCTGTGTATTTAAAATGTTCACGTTTAATTAAAAGTATTGCCCATTCTGCCAATTATTTGTGTTATTTCCTCTGTGCAAGAAAATCTCTTAACTTTTCTGATGTCACCACACAGTTCAGCCTCTACTCGCTCATTACTTCTGATTAAAAACAGTGAACATGGTGGCAAATACAGACTACAGAGAGGTTGGTGACACCTTCTTGTTCGTTTCTTTTATTGTCAGCTGCAGGGAATGCAGATGAATGAGCCTTTGATCTGAATCTGACACATACACCACGCTGATGTTTATTAATGTGAATCGTCTCTGACAAATATACAAATAAAGAAAGTAAGTAAAGTAACAGTGCTCCATCCAAGGCATCAACTGATGGTTTGATACTCCAAGCTGGTTTAAATGGTTTGATGTAGGATTTAAAGAAATACTCTGAAGTACAGAGTAGGGCTGCCAACAAATATTCTAAATCGATTATATAATAAAATTGCAAAACTAAACAAATATTATATTGTGAAAATGAATATTCAGTCATGGGAAAAAAGGCAGCACCACCACCGCAGCTGTCTGCTTGACGGGGAGTCACACTACGTCACTTATATTGATTAAAAATGAAATGTAGGTCAAGCTGAAACGAGTAAATAATTCAGCTACAACCGTAATGATGGCAGAAAGTTCACAACACAACTCGTCCACAGAGAAAATTCAATAGCATTGAATCACAACTAGAGTTACATCACCTGCTGGGGGCTTCAAATTCAAGCCTCATATCCAGCACGGAAAGTTAACAACGTTTATTACACGTCCCATTATCACTGAAGGAGGCAGAGGAACAGCTACACATTTGATACAGCGAGCAACAGCGAGCAGGAGAGGGAGAGGAGCTATCGCCAACTGCTGGCTAACACAACAGAAGAGCAGGTAAACAACCGTTGGGAATAACAGAGAAAAGGTGAGAGCTATGAGTGCGTAGCTGCTGTAATGGAGAACATAACAGAATGAAGAGGATTGAGCTGGAGGAGCATGAACACGCTACCAGCCGTCTAACAGTGGAAACTGGAGCTGATACGCTGACTGCAGCACGTCAGAGAGCGTCACATCCTTTGGTCAGTGGACAGCTGAGTTACGCTCTGTGCTGGATTATGGAAAAAATGCACAATAATCCATTTTTACAGCACTATTACTGAGTAACAACATGTATTCTAATCCTTCTAGCTCCTCCTGTAGCTGAGAGCTGAAGGTGGAAGCGTGTACAACCTATTTATTCTTCTGAAGTGTGCAGTCTGTCCTCAACAGAATACATAATTGGAAAGTTGGAAATAAACAGGAAAGCAAGCTAAAGGCAGTCACACGGCACGATCAGACACTTAATGTCAAAACAACATGGAGACAGACAGAAACAAGGTGCTAATGAAAGATGAACACATCTGTGGTCTGAAGACGTGTATAAACGTCCTCTTTCCTTTCTCTGTGGTGTATCTGCACAAACAGGCCTTTCCTGTGGCAGGGAGATGACAGATTGTCAATAGTAATAAGATCAGCTGTTGGTAAAAGGAGGCCCAGAAAGCCTTTGATCCTGTGTAGTTCCCAGCTGGAGATCCACAGACTGTAACTGCAGCCTTTACCTCTAACCACGAGCATCAGAGCGACGGGGAATCTAACCACTTACTTTACTTTTCTGCAGCACAAATGTCCTGTTATTGCTATTTTCTCTGGGGATTTGAAGTCATTTATGACCTGAGGGGGACACACATGAAGGATGAAGGACTCTGTATCTTTAAATATGACTGAATATGAATATAAGAAGCTTACATTGCATTAAAGCTACATTTAGACCTACAATGTAGGAGATCAAAATGACATAAATAACAGAACAAAGACCAATTACATTAGGTAATACAATGAAAACATTTTACAGGTGTTTTGTGGGGAGAAGAACCTCTTGTGCTTTTCTGTCATATATATACTGTAACATTGCTGGATGTTGATGCCAGAGTGTGGAATAATGCGGTAAACGTGTGTAAAAGTAATCCCTGTGGGCAAAAAGCTTTGAATCGAGACTCTGAATGCAACGTTTTTTGGCGTTGGCTCTTCTCGGATTTCTTGCTTCTGCTCCAGGCGGAACACACCCACCAAGTACGGGAACCCACTGAGGTATTCAACTGCTCTGCTCAGGATTCGGGACTAACCTTTCAGAGGGGGTTTTTGTGGTTGTGAAGGAAAGTTACATATTTTCTGGTTTTCCCTCTGATGTCCTGCGGCTTCTCTACCTGGGATTTAACGTATTTACTGTTGGACAATATAGCTTTACTTCTTGCTGTGATCTAACTTCTTCTAACTGCTGCTAACGGCTTACAGACTGGGAGCTCGAGAGACCGGCACTCCTGGTGGCCAAAAGCTCCCAGTCCCAGTAACACAGTTCAGACAGAGTATGGCTAAGTTATTAAGAGTAGCTATAGTTACCTAACTGCTAACAACAAGTAGATAAGGCTATAGTTCCATCAGGAAACTAAAATCATCTACATTTGAAGCACAGCAGCCGGAGGACGTCAGAGGGAAGACCAGAAAATATTTTCTCTATAAAATATGATCCAGTTTCACCAAAATCAGAAAATCAGTGAATAAAGCTGTAAGAATGTTGTGCTTTCGTTCAGCAATCAGTGAGACTCGTCTATCGGTGTTACAACCGGCAGGAGAATAAAGTGCCGTTCTTACAACAAAGTGCCGTGCCCGGTTAACAGCATCCCCATCCGTATCCAACACACTGAATCCTTTAAACTCACCTGGGTCTGTAGTACGGTCACACCTTGCACACACAGGGACAGATAAACAGTCTGCAATCACATAATCCACGGCAGCACAAACACACATAATGTACACACACACACACACACACACACACACACACACACACCTGCAGGGCCTCCAGGAAGCGAAACGATCCCAGACGTCGGCCCCGGGGCACCAGACAGAAACTGGAGTTGTGGAGCAGCTCCTGGTAGTCGAACCTACACAAACACAAATAAAGAATCAGGTCAGGAGATGAGACAATACAAAGAAAGGAAACAAACAACAAAAAAAGTACATTTAAATGTGTCCTGGCGTGCAAGATACTCAAATGGGACAAGAGTGAATATTAATACACTATAATACACGATGTACTCGTACTCTTTGCAAGGAAAGAAAAGACAAAACACAAGACAACAGAGAGATAAAGAGAGAGGAAGATACTTTCAAGACAGCACTTATAACTTTTAGTAATTCCTTAGAATCCAAAAGGTGAGAGGCAATTTCAGGTGACAATAAGGTCTAGAGAGCAGAAAGAAACAAAGGGCAAAGTGATAAATGATTGTCAAACCGCAAATCTATGTTTCCACTTCGCCATTTCCTCAGTACACACATAAATCTCCAAGAACAATCAAAAGCAGCTTTCTCCTGAATGGCCAGCAAAGACTTTTTCAAGGACTTCTCATAAAATGGATGAGGATGAATAATGAAATGTGCTGGAATAACGGAGTCCAGTGCTGTTATATAATCAAACACCAGTGAGAGAGAGATTCCTCCACGCAGGGTCTCTAAATGAAGGCTTCACTCGGCTGTGTCGGTTAAAACTATCGATCTGACAGCATGGCGTATCTTGTCTGTCAAGAGAGATCAATGTGTGTTTGAAGGCCGACGCTAAAGTTTCTTTAATGCGAGTTAGCAGCCCCTCAGGGCAGAGCGGGGCAGCTTTCACTGGAAGGTCTGGATGATGTTGAGTTATGCTATCTAGTATCAAACAGCCACACAACAGCAGCTTGTAATTGGCTTGGATTTACAGCAGTTACAATGGATTTCAATGGTGAAACTCTCCTGAAACCACTCCTGTAGCGTAATGAAGATGCTACAGACTACATGAGAAATAAGCACTTTTTATCACTGATCATTTTCTAATATTCTTCTTGAGATTGTTTGACTCAAGTCCTGATCGGATCAGAGAGATTCACAAAATTTATTTTTACATATTTTTCTCTATAATTAAATTATTGACCGCCTGACATCCACTTCCCTGTACACTGTGCAGGTTATCACAGCTGAGGTCAAAGTTCAGTTAAGTTAAACTTTGCATTATTGCCTGGGCGGCTTCCCGTGAGAGTGCGCCACTATCTCCACTGTAAATACAAATCTGTTCTCTGTGCAGTCAAACCACCTCTTTCAGTGTGAAACCTTCTTCACAGCAGCCATGAAACAATCGGGTAAACACAGACGTTTCCAATGGTACTAATTAAGGCTCCGTTCCATTTAGTGTAGCAGAACCTTTCTAGTGAGACGACATGCACAATAGCAGCACCCTGACTCTGTCTGACCTGAATGGACCGGACCTTTTTCACAGCAGCCATTTTGACATGAAATAATAGGTTAAACACAGGTGTTACCAATTAACGTTGTTTAGTTGTTCCTGTTTGTTTGGATGGAGGCATTTCAGATTTTGTGAAATGGACCATGTTGGAAATAAGTGTCTTCACTTTAGTCCGTTATCTTTTTCTTGTGTCTGATAATCCATAGATAAAATCAATCAATCAATGATACTAAATAAGGCTGCCTTCCATTCAGGGTGCTGCTATTATACATCTCACTGGAACCTCACTGCTACCTGCTGGGTAATCCGCCCAACGTTGTGTAAAATACGTTTATATATGTTGCTCAGGCCAAACAGCCGCCCCTCCTCCAGAGTCTCACCGAGGAAACACTGATCTAATTAAAACTGCCAGTACTCAGTATATCGCTCTCAAGTTAAACAGCAGCTTTATATAAACCCTCAGATGGTTGGACTGCTGCACATTCCCCTCAAACTCGGGGAGTTTTTCACTTCTGCTGAAGGTCTGTGACTTTAAAGCTCTGGTGGCACTGTATGTTGTGTGTGTGTGTGTGTGTGTGTGTGTGTGTGTACACATGATCTCAGGGCTGGCCTGAGGAGATTTCAGATTGCAGCCTAATCTGTCTGGGGATCAACTGTCCCCACAACCTCACCACTAGACACCTGTGTGGTGTGTGTGTGTGTGTGTGTGTGTGTGTGTGTGTGTGTGTGCCCACCTGCCTGGAAAGCCTCTATAATGTGTGTGTATGATAAGTCTTTGTGATGAGAGAACGTCTGGCATATCACTTACTGTCACTGCATGTGTGTGTGTGTGTGAGCGTGTAAAAGTCGAAGAGAGCAAAATAAGATGTCAGGTGTCCAGTTTGTCAGGCGAAGACAAGGTCACCCTAACATCCGCTGAGCACTACAGACAGACAGAGACAGCCTGTCACATATAAAGATGGTTATTTGGGAATAACAAACAGTTTGACTGCAATTAAATCTCACTTCAGCACACAGCTCCTCTGTTTCATGGTGGTCTTGTTGACCTTGATCAAACTCCTGCGCGATGTGTGTGTCGTGGTGTCATCTTTGTCTCTGATGAGAGAAAGGGGGCTCGGAACCTGTCTTGGTTTTCAGCCAGGTTTTGGACAGCACAGTGAAAGCAGAGCTGCTTTGTCCTGAGGTGCAGCCTGTACCCTGACTCTGGAATACTGAGCACCCAAGGGCCCTGTGCACATAAGCACTGGTAATAATGATACTGAGCTGGAAGCACAGATATGGAAGGACCAGACCCTCCGAGTGAGCCGGCAACAAGAAACTACACCGGTGAACAATGTGGAGACCTGACAGGAGCTAGATACGTACATAAAACACACGGTAGCTTCAAACAGACGCAGACATGGAATTCATTTACTGTTAAATGGTGTTAATTATCTGTTTCCATTTCAAAATGTAATGTCTATAAAAGCATCAGACTGTTTGGAGTAGTCGGCCTTGTGATGTAAGAGATTTACTGAATGCAATATTAAAACATAAGTCTTTAGTATTGCATGCTGGGAAACAGCTGTAACACTGTCGCTGGAAATCACTGTAGCATCAGTAAATGTTCTCTTAAAGGGGGCAAACAACATAAAATGTAAACTTAGTTGTAAATGCAGGTATTACTTTGTTAAGCATGTATCACATTGCTGATGTTGTTTGGCCACGTAGCTGCAAAATGTCATTTAAAATCTTCTGAAATTACATTAATATTAAATAATTTATTTATAAGTGTCGTATCAGATGTGTTGACTACATTTCTTATGACCTCTTTCAATATTAATGAGTCACATATGCAGTTATGGGTGTAAATATTTAGTAACAACTCATCTCTATATAAGTTTGTTTGGATGCAACTTATTTTAATTTAGTTATCCCTTTATCTCCACTTAGTCAACACTTTATGAGATAAGAAGTTAAGTTTGACCTTACAAAGCGCTGGTGCAACCGGCTCCTGGTTACTGGTGATCACCGGCCAGGTGGTGTTTATTGCGGTGGCTTGCATCATCAAAATCACCATAAGTGTCTCCTCAAGCATTACAAATGTGGGCTGAAATCAACCAGATGGGTGAGTTGAGTCACGGGGAGCTGATACGAGCCAGGTAACGTCTAAGATGACTGTTATTCTGGTAGAAAAGCCTGGCAACCCATAAGGTCTGCGGCGCTGCCCTGGCAATCATATCCGAGAGAGAGATGGTGTGTAAGAAGCTTTGGGATATTCGAGACCAGATACTGACTGCTGAACTTCCAAGACCAGCAGGTTAGCAGGTTTTTCCAAGTTCTCGTGCATTGATTGATTCTGCTTCAGCTGTCACAGCAACCTCTTAATGCCTGTGTTTCCTGGCGTGTTGGGCCCTATGGAGCCCTCCCAAGTGTAGGTGTTACCTCTGAGAGATTGTGTCAGGTGGTACATGCCCTACATCTGCAGGAAAAATCTGCCTCCCCATTCTGGTCAAGACGTGACACAACAACAAATGCTTTACACACCTTTACTTATAGTGCAGGGAGCAGCTTCAGGGTAGTTTGGCCTCTATTCAATTTCAATTTTCAATTCAATTTTATTTGTATAGCACCAATTCATAACAGAAGTTATCTCAGGACACTTTTCAAATAGAGCAGGTCTAGACCGAACTCCTTATAACATTAATTACAGAGACCCAACGGAACCACCATGAGCAAGCACTTGGCAACAAGGGCAAGGAAAAACTGCCTGTTAAAAGGCAGAAACCTAGGACAGATCCTTCGGCTCTAGGTGGGTGGTCGTCTGCCTCGACCAGTTGGGGTGAGAGAGAGAGAGAGAGAGAGAGAGAGAGAGAGAGAGAGATGCACAGCAACAACAAGCCTCTGTGGTATTCATTAAGTTTTCTTTAACTGCAGCTTAAATCTACATAAATCTATTAAACTCAATAAACTTGGAAGCATTTTCCATGACTTTTCTTTACAGTACAGGACAGCATTGCTCACAAACAGTCATATAATTTACCGGTAGGTCTAGTATTGTTTAATGACACAGGTTCATGATGAAGTGAAGTGTAGCTGGTTAGTGTTTATTCGCCGACTTTTCCATCGCGTACCATAACATTACTTTGGCCACAGTCCATAAGTAACAGTTAAAATTTACATAAAAATCCTTTAACCATCTCAGAAAGTGTTTGTTGCTCGCACATTTAACATCTCTGTGCATGTAATCATTAACCACAACAACAAGACATTTTTCAACTGGGCTTTTGTGAAAATTCTGCTCGCGGCTCTAGAAAAAATAGACTCTGCGCTGAAAAGATCGAGTTAGTTCCACGTCTGATGAACCTGCTTTGAAGTATCTGTGGAGGTTCTCCTACCAACAGTCCACTTTCTAACTAAATACAGTATGTCGGCCATCTGAGTGAAAGGCTAAAAGGCAATTAAAATCTTTCAGGACAACACAGATTATTTCCAGGATATTTGGTAATTTTAATCATTTTTCAGCTGTTTCCCTCATTGGAAAACTAGACTCTGAATTTCCAGGTTTTCCAGGTTTTCCATGTTTTCCGGGACGCGTGGGAACCCTGTGCAGTTCATAGCATTGGAATGAATCAAGCCTGTAAAGACACACAGCAAGTGATCCAATAAAAAATAACATAGCGGTTAAAA